CAGCCTCCTCCAGTAGGCACTCATCCGTCATTCAGAGGCACTGTAGACAGGGATCCAAGATCTACCTAGAGAGTTCAAAAGGCACCAAGATGGGAAAGAAAATGGCAGCAAGGCAGCTCATTTAATGCTGACGGCACGTGTGTGTCAAAAGGAGAGAGAAACTCATCCTGGTGCTAGAATTAGCACTAACCACTAATGACAGTGGTTCAGCTAGTAAGCACTGCCTGCCTGTAGCAGGAGTTTAAAGTGGCAGCTCCAGGAGTCTCCAGTTGTTAATTCCAACATGACTGGAGTTGTGGGACCCTAGCATGCCCTGCTGCAGGGTGGTGCTTTTCAGGTTGCTTGAGAGGAGGAATCAAGTCATTCCTGGACTTGATTTGCTGGGCTGTGGGATTCTCTCTGCTGCCTTTTGGAGCTTTGCAAGTGGAAATATCTTCAGCGGTGGGAAGTTCAGTGTAAGTTGTGGATGCCCAGAACTTCTGAAAATCAGTCCCTTGTTCTTTTCATGGGTTTACTCCTTCCAAAGGTACCTGGGGATGTTATTGCTGGCACCTGGCCTGTTCCTTTAACTAGCAGGCCTCTACTGCACAGGTAACCCACAAAGCATTCTCCCTGGCTGCCAACTGGAAGTGCCAATAGGTCTCTCGGGAAGGACATGAGTGCTCAGTGATGAGTGTTCCCCAGTCTCCTTGTTCTTCCGGTAACATTATGTAGTTTCTCCTGGGAACTCCTTTTGCCAGACTGACTCTGCTCTTTCCCCTCATATTGCAGACAGCAAGTCATCCAGCCAATGGGGATGACTCCAGGTGGCACTCTCACCCCTCTGGAGAATGCTGTGCATGAGATGGCGGAGGAGAGGTCATCGTCTGACTCTGATTTGGGGTTGGACTGATTCACACCTCTTCACCTCCCCAGGACTGTGGGCTCTCCACTCTCCCTCCAGAACTGGTGCTGCAGCCAGAGAATAGTACTGCGTGAGGACTCTCCCAGTGGGATCTGAATCAGGGCTGGAGTCCACTGCCTAGACGGATAATATCCACCTTCTCTCCAATCCCGTAGCCAACTCTCCTTTTCCAAAGAGCTCTCCACAGCTTGGTCTCCTTCCCTCAGTGTCTCTGAGGATCTCAGACTCCAACCCATGCCCAAGATTGTCCAGTAGGATTTTCATAGAGGAAGATTGGGAAGGGGGAGGACTCGGAATATCTTATTACACCAACAGGGTCCAATAGTGTGTGGAGCATTGTATGAGCTGACTTCTGTGTGGGCACATGACGTGGTGCGTGTATCTGGATAAACAGATATGGGGTGCGGGTGTGTTTGTGCATACGTGAGGCACTTGTGCAGCATGCATGCATTTGTAAGGGCACATGATGGTATGCCTATGTCAGAGAACATGTGTGGGAATTTGGGAACACAAGATAATTTGTGAATGTGATTGTACAAGTGGAATAAATGCCTGGGACGTATGTGTAGTGATTAGAAGAATGGACTTTACGTGTCTGCGTACTGATGGTATGTACATGTATGGGAGAACCTGGCTGTTTGGCATGTATGCAATTATGTATGTATAGACAGGAACGTGTCAATGTGTAATGTTTAGGTACAAATCTAGATAACATTTGTGGGCATTGTCAGGGGTGTAAACAGGAGTCGCTGTGACGTTTACAGATGGGGATGTGAGTGTAATGTTTAAGAACATGTACCTGGGTGGACTCATGTTGGATACATGTGTGTGGATTCATTCTGTGTGGGATCACATGTGGGTCTAAGAGTATAGATCTTATGAGAAACTTTCAGCACTCACACTGACTGCAGGATTGACATTTGCAGGTGACTGTTTGCCAGCAATGCTCTGATTCGTAGTCTGTAGCACTGTGCCTGTTTCCACCACGTTCCATTTTCTTGACTAACTTCTCCCATTCTACTTTCTGAACAAAAGATGGAGACCCATTGTATTGTTTCTTGCTGAATCTTCTGCTTTGGCTCACACAAATCCCTAGTTCTTTGTACTCCTAGACTGGTATCAAATCTCTTCCTGCACTCTGTTATAGACGTTTCTGTTTAAAGAAGAGAAACTCTCTTCCAATTTGTCTCCTGTACCAAGATTTTCAGAACTTATCAGCACAGATAGAAAGAATTACACAAGAATAAAGGACACCTTCTGGCACAGACAAGTGCATGTTAGTGTTTTGTCTGAGTGATGTCACAACACTAAGCAAATCAGAAAGTCCATCATATAATCATGATGATTCCAAACATTAGTTTTATTTCCCAAAAAAATGGCCTATTAAGACACAGTTAAAGCAGAAACTCTCTCTAGATGTTAACAAAACAAACACATCACTGAATGTTTTAATTTGAAGCATCTTAGCACCTGTGATTCAGGAAATTTTAAGCTAAGATTCCATTAATACCCTTAACTCTGCTCTGTGTACTCGCCACATGTACTGTAACTATTGGGCACAAGTCTTCCATTACTTTTGAAAGGTTTGTAATGATTAAAAATAAGTAATACATTCCCTGCATGTTAGTTCCCTTTTCTGCTCTGTGTAGAATATCTAAGGGCATAGCCTGAATTGCAGAATGAGATTTTCAGCTAGTGTTTGTAGAATGAATCTGGGCTAAATGGTTACCTGAAAGTATGCAGACAATAGGGTTTCTGAATGAGTGAGTAGGTTAAGCATAGTAGTGTTTCTCTCATGTACAGAGAGTATGGACAGGAAAGGTTGGGCTTTGTGGCTTATTGCTGAACAGTTGTAGTTAAGGAAATCAAGATTTCAATATCTGTTCAATATCTTCATCAATGATGTAGATATTGGGATAGAGAGTACGCTTATTAAGTTTGCAGATGATACCAAACTGGGTGGGGTTGCAACTTCTTTGGAGGATAGGGACATAATTCAAAATGACCTTAGCAAGTTAGAGAAATGGTCAGAGGTAAACAGGATGAAGTTTAATAAAGAGAAATGCAAAGTGCTCCACTTAGGAAGGAACAATCAGTTCCATACATACAAGATGGGAAGCGACTGTCTAGGAAGGAGCATGGCGGAAAGGGATCTAGGGGTCATAGTGGACCACAAGTTGAATATGAGTCAACAGTGTGATGCTGTTGCAAAAAAAGCAAATATGATTCTAGGTTGTATCAACAGGTGTGTTGTAAGCAAAACTCGTGAAGTCATTCTGCCGCTCTACTCTGCACTAGTTAGGCCTCAGCTGGAGTACTGTGTCCAGTTCTGGGCGCCACATTTCAAGAAAGATGTGGAGAAATTGGAAAGGGTACAGAGAAGAGCGACAAGAATGATTAAAGGTCTAGAGAACATGACCTATGAAGCCAGGCTTCATGAACTGGGCTTGTTTAGTTTGGAAAAAAGAAGATTAAGGGGGGCCATGATAGCGGTTTTCAAATATCTAAAAGGGTGTCACAAGGAGGAAGGAGAAAATTTGTTCCTCTTGGTTTCTGAGGACAGAACAAGGAGTAATGGGCTTAAAGTGCAGCAAGGGAGGTTTAGATTGGACATTAGGAAAAAATTCCTAACTGTCAGGGTTGTCAAATATTGGAATAAATTGCCAAGGAGGTGGTGGAATCTCCCTCTCTGGAGATATTTAAGAACAGGTTAGACAGACATCTGTCAGGGATGGTGTAGACGGAGCTTGGTCCTGCCTTGAGGGCTGGGGACTGGACTCGATAACCTCTCGAGGTCCCTTCCAGTCCTATGATTCTATGATTCTAAGATGTGATAGGATCTCTGGTGGCCAGAAGTGCAGCTGTGGAGGAGGATTGGGAGGGAGGAGGTCTGAAAAATCTGGGACTGTACCTTAAAGTACCTTCTCCTGTGAATTTTTAAGGGGAGAAAAACAATTCTAAATATCCTTAGCAATTGATTTGTAAACCAATTGCTAAGACTGTAATTGCAAGGGAAAAAGGCCAAAGATTTACTTATTTAAAATGCAAGTTTAGTTCTTCACCTAGACTATGTCTACACTGGCAGCTTCTTGGGCAAGAACAGTAGTTCTTGCGCAAAAACCTGCCTGCTGTCTACACTGCACGAGTGTTCCTGCGCAAGTAAATTTACAGTATAGCGTTGTATAACAGGGCTTCTTCCGGAAGAGTTATAATTCTCCCCACGAGGAATAAGCCCTCTTGCGCAAGAGCTCTTCCACAAGAGGTCAGTGTAGACAGGCCACATTAATTTCTTGCGCAAGAAGCCCCCAGGGTTAAAATGGCACATGGCAGTGTGGACGCACTCTTGTGGAAGATTTTTTGCACAAGAACTCTTCCGCAAAAGAGTTCTTGCGCAAGAATCTGCCAGTGTAGACGTAGCCCTAGTGAAGAACTTTCTGTAAGTTGTTAAACTCCAAGTTGTTCCTAGATGTATGGAAAAAATTAACCTACTAAACTTGATAAATAGACAGCAGGTTTTCTGAGGAGAATAGTAGAAAATCAACAGAGGAGTTTCTGAGTTAAGTCCTTTTATTTTATTTATTGAAGATAGAAATTAGCAAAATAGTAAACTTTCTATTCAAACCTCTGATCTTTTTCAGAGTGTTAGATCTGGCAGACACCTCACCCAATCAAGAAAATAAAGAGACCATGGCATATTTTACTCTTCCTTTATCTAATTTTCATGTCTTCAAATTCCTCAGAAATTGGCCATGTTTAAAACTCAAGCTTGCAATGGACTTAGGCTGTCCACACGTGTTTACCATTTAAAACATGACTAGTCTCACTGTTGCACTGACTTCAATAGGGCTGTCTATATGTTTAAATCCTGGCATAAGGGTTTTCAGAATTGAGGCCCAACTCAGGACAAGCACCTTTGACACATATAATGAAATATGGATGAGAAGCAACAGCTGCTGCTTTGTAGTAAAATACTAACTGTACAAATGGGCAGAGCTCCAGGTATGCTAAGTATGCTAAGTGTTTGGTGTGCTGCAAAGTGAAATAAACACTTCTGCTTTTATTTAGGCTATAAATTCAAGTGACATTTAATTCATGGCTGATACTACAGTTATGAAAGAACACTCAACTATATCTGAATCACACATTCAGATAAACAAGTCTGTTCATCTGAATGTGAGCTGTGTCACAGATTTCATTAAAAAGAAGTGCAAGGGCACTGTTAATGCAATGGGAGAAATAACAGGACTAGTGTAAATCAGCATACATCCACTGAAGTTAATGGACCTCTCTTGAGTTACACCAGCAGAGAATCTGGCATGACGTTTCTAGATGCACAGAAGACAGATAATCCAAAGATAGGTTTCATACAGCAAGGGCTCGTCTACATTGGCCCCTTTTCCGGAAGGGGCATGGTAATTTTTGAAATCGCAATAGGGAAATGCGCGGGGGATTTAAATATCCCCCACGGCATTTAAATAAAAATGTCCGCCGCTTTTTTCCGGCTTTTAGAAAAGCCGGAAAAGAGCGTCTACACTGGCCCCGATCCTCCGGAAAAAGCGCCCTCCGGAAAAGGGCTTTTTTCCGGAGGATCGGGGCCAGTGTAGACGCTCTTTTCCGGCTTTTCTAAAAGCCGGAAAAAAGCGGCGGACATTTTTATTTAAATGCCGCGGGGGATATTTAAATCCCCCGCGCATTTCCCTATTGCGATTTCAAAAATTACCATGCCCCTTCCGGAAAAGGGGCCAATGTAGACGTAGCCCAACTGTAAGTTAGTCACATTGCACATACATATTAAGGCATAAAGGCTAACACAATACAAAGAAATACCAACATACAAAAATGCAGTTACAGTAACTACAGAAACCTTAACATTCAAATTCCTTGAATTTTGTGCATTTCAAAATATTAACCATAATCACATTGATACAAAGTGTTTTGCATCCCCTCTTCGTTGTGTTTTTTCAGAAAAATACTGTAATAGACGAGCTAATTATTGCTGCCTTCACTGCTAGGCTAAAAAGGTGCAATTTTAAATCTACACTGGAACTTGGGCTCAGCTGCAAAGACCGTACTCTAATGAGAGAGGGAAAGGGACCTCACTGTTAATGGTGCTTTCTGATGAGACATTAAACATTTCCCGTTTGACCATGTGTGATGTGCAAATTAAATATCCCCTGGCACCTTATGAAAAGAGGAGAAAGTAATCCTGGTTTCCAGACCAATAGCCCCTCCCTAGGAGAATCAGTGAATAGACACTACTGCTCCATATGACTGGAACATTCGGTGAGCTGTAAAACTGTAAGAAACTAAGCCAGCATATAAAGGGTGAATAGCTGCTAAGTGAATAAGTAAGAGAAATGAGGGATGATAAAAGGACAGATGAACAGAATTGAAGGAAGTGCAATCAAAACACTGACAGCTGGAAATGTGTGAAACAAGACATTGAAATACCATGTGTAGACATCAGCAAAGGTATTAATTATTACCATTAATAAGTATTATCAGTGTAGATATCAAACTACATTCCATTCAATGAGCTGCTTAAACTGGCCCACAGGGTTGTTTGCTCAACATCAGCAGGATTTCTAAGAATCATTTTTAGACAAATTCCCTTCCCTTCCTGATTAGCAGTGATTTTACCCACATGACGCACACTACAAATTTGCAATAAATAAATATTAAAAAGCCTACTTGCATTCGAGACCTGCTTTTTTGAGGAGCTGGTTCAGGGGGCCAGACAATTTCTATGAAACTGTCTGCTGGACTTCAGTGCTTATCTCAGCAGTAATAGAACGAGACAGATCTAACTAGTATTTTCAAAAGTGGATTAGTGAGTTTGTTTGGCTGCCCAACTTGAAGCATTATAAATAGGACAGGCCAGATTTTCAGGACATTCTGAGCTCTTGCTCTCTGACAGGCCTGGGTATTTCAGATTTAGCAGCCAAAACTTGGGATGCCTAGACTCACAAGACATTTAGGAAAATTTGATCCTGAATTTCTCGTCCAGAATTCCTGGTGAGAAAGAAATGAATGAGTCTCACCAAAGTTGGGATGACAGTTTGTACAGAGGTTAAAAGATGGCAGACAAAGAGAGGCAGAGTCTCCCCAAATGTGTGTCTTTGGTGAATGGAAGACAGGAAAAGGTAGAGATCATGGAGTTCAGTGGACACATTACCATGCTGAGGTATCTGATTGGGAACATCTGCAATACCTGGCCACAGCCTGTCACTGAGTTTTCACTTGCTATGAGTTTTTTGTGATAGTTTTTTCTATACTGGGGCAAGGCAGCTAAAAGGGTCCTCAGGGAGCCCCCAGTTCTTAGGTCCAGTCCATTAGCCATTGCAAAGCTGGAGAGCATCTTCCCCAGCTCTCTTCTGTAATGTTTCCACAGCTCATGGGGATAGCACCTACCCCTTTTCAAGGTGAACATCATTTTCCAGCAGCAGGAGGGCAGGTGTCCTATTTGTTTTTTGCATCCAGCTAAAAATAGAAAGAATGTTCATGGCTCAACAATGTGGTTCACATGTTCCAGCATCCATCAACTCAGCTGGTGACACTCAGGCCCAAGAGGCCAGGATGAAGAAAAAAAGGGTCCATGTTGCAATAAGATTTTCTTGACAGAGTGACAGCAACACAACCTTAACAGGAAGAGCTGTGTGCTCTTGTGTTGCCCCCAAATGGCTGACTAGGAAAAAAAACTGACAAATGACTAATCATCCTCTCTTAGTGAAAAATGAAACAGCAGTGTTAAAATGGGGCCTAGAATTGCCACACTACAGCATGCCCTCTTCTAACACTTTGCTTAGAAATACAGAGCCAAAATGCTCTGCTGGTGCAAATGGACTAAACTGTATTAACACTAAGGCTATGTCTGCACTGGTGGGTTCTTGCGCAAGAACCCGCAGAGCATCCACACTGCCCACCCGCTCTTGTGCAAGGAGATTTACAGTACGGCACTGGAAGACAGGGCTTCTTGCGCAAGAGCTATGCTCTTTTCTAAAAAGTGTAAGTCCTCTTGCGCAAGAACTCTTCCACAAGAGGGCAGTGTGGATGTGCAGCAGGGTTTTCTTGCGCAAGAAAGCCCTATGGCTAAAATGGCCATCAGAGCTTTCTTGTGCAAGAGAGCGTCCACACTACCATGGATGCTCTTGCGCAAAAGCACATGGCAGTGTGGACGTGTTCTTGTGCAAGAACCCACTAGTGTAGACATAGCCTAAGGGTGCATCTACACTGCATCCTAAGCTCGAAATGAACAACGCAACTTGAGCTACGCAAATTGTGTAGTTTGAGTGTATTTCAAAACAGTTTTTGTAACAGCGTAAAATTTCAAAATAAACCATTATTCTGAAATATCCCTTAATCCTCATGGAATGAAGTTTACAGGTATGCCAGAACAGCACACCTGTTATTCCAAAAGATATTTCGAAATAATGGGCACACTGTCAAGACTAAGAATAGCTATTTTGGGATACTGGAAGTATCCCAAAACAGCACCGCGGTGCAGACGTACCCTAATGGATCTTCACCCATTTATTCCAGCAGAGTTTTCTCCATGGAGTTAAATGCTCCACCAGACTAAAATAAAATAAAATACTACTACTAATGGTCTCTAGTTAACATTAGCATCTCTTAAAATAATCAATAACTTGCTCTTTCATAAAACCTTTTCTGAGGATCTCAATGGGACTTCTCAGAGGAGTATGGGTCTGCAGGATTAGACATTTCCTTACTATAAGACTAGATGAGTGCTTTACTCTGTCTTGTTAGGAACAGGGATAACTGCAGAACCTCTCTATTTCATACAAAGGACTGGGAGAAAGACTGTGAATGAAGTGATTCTATAAGTCAGCAAATAAGAGAACAAACCCACGAAAAAGGAAAGATTTATTTATTTTGGCAATTTTAGATCAATATTTATGGCAATATTTCAGACGGAATCAATCCAATTACAGATCCAGATCCTCAGCTGGCACAAAGCAGCTTAACACTATATGGAATCCCCATTGATACCAAGAAAGCAATATCAGTTCACACCAGCTGAGCATCTGACCCCTGCGGGAATATTCTGTACAGTTAATTATGTTTAATACCATGAGATTTCATTAGAGCCTCTGCTCTGAAAACTAAGAGGAGGAAAAAAGCCACTACATTTTTGTGTTTATAACATGCCCAAATTAGTCTGGCACACATAAGGGGTATTTCTCTTGGCATGGAGAGTGATAGAGATAACTTTCAAGTTCTTCAGACTATCTATGCAAATATTGCAGTCTGTACCCTGGAGTGCATGTTATCCTGGACTTGGGGTTCTGATCTGCTGAAGTCAATGGGAGTTTTTCAATCAATTTCACTAGCCTTTGGAGCTGGCTTGTGATTATTTGTCTTTTAAATGCATCTAACCCTAACCTTTTCTGTTTTTTTGTACAATTCCTCGCAGCACATCCCTCAAACCATTCTATCATTAGAGAGCTGATACTCCACAGTCTTGGTCTTCTCTTTGTTTGGTAGAAACAAAAGTCTGATGTTGTCTGAAAATGTATTTAACAACCCTGGCTACTTCCTTATCTCAGGATATAAACTCTTTGGGTGCGTCTAGACTGGCAAGATTTTGCGCAAAAACTTGCCAGCTGTCTATACTGGCTGCTTGAATTTGCTCAAGAGCACTGACTTTGTAATATACAAAATCAGTGCTTCTTGCACAAATACTTTCACGCTCCCGCTCAGGGATAAGCCCTCTTGCGCAAGAGGGCCAGTGTAGACAGGTACCTTAATTTTTTGCGCAAGAAAGCCCGATAGCTAAAATGGCCAACGGAGCTTTCCTGCGCAAAAGTGCGTCTAGATTGGCATGGATGCTTTTGCGCAAAAGCACTTTTTGCGCAAAAGCGTCCTTGCCAATCTAGACACTCTTTTGCGGAAATATTTTTAACGGAAAAACTTTTCCATTAAAAGTATTTCCGCAAAATCATGCCAGTTTAGACGCAGCCTTTGGGTACGTCTAGACTACAGACTTTTGACGACAGAGGCTTTGTCGACAGATACTGTCAACAAAGCCTCTGTCGACAAAGAGCATCTAGACTACAGCCAGTTCTGTAGACAAAGCAAGATGCTTTTTCGACAGAGAGTCTAGATGCTCTCTTTTGAAAAAGCACAGTGTGGATGCAATAGCGCCTTTTGTTGACAGAACTCTGTCAGCAAAAGGTGTTATTCCTCGTAGAATGAGGTTTACTGCCATCGACAAAACTGCCACGTTCTGTCAACTTACTATCAACAAAACTCAGCGGTAGTGTAGATGCAGGTATAGTTTTGTCGACAAAAGTCCACTTCTGTCAACAAAACCCTGTAGTCTAGACACACCCTCTGTGTTTGTTGTTAAATGCCCTACTGGCTTCTTTTATCCTTTGGAATTTGCTCTCCCTCCCAGTCTCCTTCAGGGTACAGATTGTAGAAATGATGCTGGCTTCCATATGGCTTTTTGATCCCCACAATCCTATTACCTGTTAGCACCGAAATATTTTTGACACAAAGACTGATGAGATCGAGGGAGACCTCTATGAGCCTTTCATACCTTTTCTGTTTCCCTTTGAATTAGCTCCTGCATTTCTTCCTTCCAGGCCATCAGCTCCACAAACTTCTCCACCCCACTGACCACATCTCCCAGCAAGGCCACATCATTGTACTGTGGCTGGTATGCAAATGGTCCCACCAAGTCTCGATTGATCAGCACACGAGGAATAGAGCTGCGGACTGCATCTGCCAGACTGGCAAAGGGCTGCACCTAAAATAATTCGCCCAACACCCCAAAAGAGCAAAGAGAAACAGAAAGCTTCACTCCAGGAGTAAAGGTTAGCAGGGAAGCCCATACCCCACACAAAATGAATTAAATGCACTCCAGAAACTGACCCTCAGAGACACAAAATGCAGGGTATCAGAAGGCTCTTCTACATCAGAGGGCCCCAAACTTTGCAGTCTGACTCTTCCATGTTACACCCACCATATCTTTAACAACACTGCATCTCATAACCAGGACAAACTGGCCAAGAGGAATATTCCAGATGAAAGTTATCATCTACAATACCCCCTGCTGGCCCATCACTGAATTAGCAGGGGACGTATCTCCAGGAGAGTCCTCCACAGTTATTACTGTTACCTCCTCAAGTGTCCACAAAATCATCTCTTCATCCCAGAGGTGCATCCCCACATCCTTATCCTGACCTTGTCAGTCTCCCTTCTGTTCCCATACATCCACACACAGAGTCTGAGCATTCTGCTTCTCACCCTACATCCTCAAATTTCTCTTCATTTCCCTGATCCCTGAATCGCCCACTTTCGTTTCCCCTAATGTCCTGCTCAATTTTGAATTGTCCCCCTCATTTCCCTGCAATGTCCTATTCAATTTTACACTACCCCTCCATTCTCCCAACATCCTGTTCAATTTTCCACTGTTTCCTCAAGTCCCACAGCACAGGGTCCCTATATCCCACTCATGATCTAGGTCACTGACCTCAAGGGAGGTTCCAATGATAAAGAGCACATCTGCCATGGGGAAATCTGCCACGTGTAGGAAGAACCGCTGAGGGAGCTGCTCTCCAAAGAACACAATATCAGGTTTGATGAGTCCGGTGCAGACTGGGCAGTGGGGGATCTTGTCTGCCATCACATCTCCCTGAAACAAGAAATCCCGTCAGTATCCACATGCATTACCAGGAAGCCCAACAACTCCATCATCAAATCCTCCATCTGTCCCACAAGCACACATGGGTTTGCCATGTTATTACATCGCAACAAAACAAAATTTGTCCTTGTCCTCTCTTGGTCATGAGGACAAGATCACTGGCCTGTAAGCCCCCCACTTTGAATTAGCTTCTGTTGTCTCTGTGTTGATGCCCCTGCAATTACCACTCACTCTGAAGTCCTCCCCTGGGTAGGATCTCCGACAGACAGTACATGTGGCAGTGGCGAAAGTGCCATGAGCTTCTACCAACTTATCAGGAGGGATCCCAGCAACTTGAATACAAGATGGAGAGATTAACTCAGTACAAAAAAAAATGAACCTACTGGTCCCAAATTCATCTGATGCATCAACAGCCCCACTCTGATATTCCATCCCACCTTGTGTTTTCACTGCATTCCATTAATGGGAGCCAGGAAAGGGACACTCACTTCTTTCCAGCCCGTCAATATTCTGGGTGTACAGACGCAGAAGGAGCCCTTTGTCATGCAGGAGTCGCAAGAAGTAATGGGAGTAATTAGGCCTGTAATTGCCAGGGTACAACTCCTTAGCTAAAGTGAAAAAGGGCTTAGGGTTGTGGAAGAAATAGGCAAGTTCAAAGATGGCTTCTGGATAGGGAATGTCATATTGCTGAAGGTTACTGTACAGGCCACTCCCAGGAGACCTGCAGAGGGGATAAAAGGGGCCTATTAGAATGCCACAGGAAAAGAAATCCAGCACGGCTGCTTTTAAGGACACCTGTAGTAAGATGAGGGCCTGAAACAAAAGACCATGTAGCACAGGCCTGGTTTGAGGCCTGATGCCTGGCTAACAATAGTCAAGACTTTGCTAATATAAAGCAAAGCTAAGCTGTGAGCAAGAGGCAGGCCCCTGCTCACAGAATTTGGTATGAACAGAGCTGAGAGTATAAAAACACTGGTAACAAGCACATTTGTACAACCGCAATTGGTACTAGGTACTGGCTGTAAAACAGTGATTGACACATCAGAGTGATGTGTACCTTGTTTGTACCTCTCTATAAAGTGGTGTTTTGGAGGAGCTATCTTTGTTTGGCCTGGGATGGAGTCCATGTCACTGACTGACTTATGTCCATTGTCAGGGGGATACAGATGCATAGTGATTTGGTAGAGTCTACTGACAACTATTACTGTACTTTGTTTGACAATAAACCTGGCCAGGCACCTTTAATCCTTATCTGATTTTGTGGTCTTTGGGGGCTCTCTCAGAGTCTGCTGGGTTGACTACTTGCACAAAGTCCACACAACACACAGGATTAAGCACACTCGCAACTGAATGGCTATCATCACTGATGGAGCAGGAGACCTCTCCAGATACTAGACCAGTGAATCCTGACTACTATAACACCTATTCCTAGCATGACACATGACTCCAAGAGAGAGTATGGCCAGATTCTTGGGTCCTATTTGGCTACTTTCTGCAGCTGAAGCAGATCAAAGGAGCCTTAGGTGGGCAGTTGAGGATTTCCCTTACGTGTGAGAGGAGCCCCTCGGGTGATGTCAAACTAGCATAGCTAGCTCTACGAAGCCCAATTCCATACCCCTGATGTATGAGGCATGTTCAGGACCACTGAGGATAGGAAAGGCCACAACAAGTGCATCTGACAAAGTGGGTCTTTGCCCACGAAAGCTCATGCTCCAATAAATCTGTTAGTCTATAAGATGCCACAGGACTCCTCATCGCTTTAACAAGTGCGTGGTGCTCCAATGATCCTGGGCTGGCGGAGTGTGGCCCCAGTTCTAACTAGTTTATGCCAGATCCAGACTGGCTCCTAGAATGCTGCTGGCATGGCACAAACTCACACTAATTGCAAGAGTAAGGGGGGTGCTGGTTGGAGCTGGGATCTATACCCTGGTACTAGTGAAAGAGAGAAATGGTAAGTGGTAGGTCCCTGGTTACTAGGTTTGGAGTATAATCAATTACAGCTCTGGCAAGGCTCCAATGCACATCTGTGAGAGGGGTGAGATGTTACCTAAAATCTGGGATGCCGCTGGGAGTACTGATCCCAGCCCCAGCCATCACCACCATTCGGTGACACTCCTTCTTCTGAATTAATTCTGCCACGTCCTGCAGGGTGAGCTTCTGGTTCCCATTGTCATCTCCTCCTCTGCCCATCCCAAAGATGCCTGTGGCAGCAGCGGATAAAGAGATAGGTCTGGCCCCTTGTATCCTTCTAGGAGCAGAAAGGAAATGCAGCAGGTGACAAAAAGACTCAAGCTGCTCAGATGGAGAAAAACAACCCAAGCTTTTGTAGGAAGCGGGAGCTGATCTTTCAATTGTAGGTTCATGTGCTATTGTTTGATAATTGAGATGATAAAACATAGCAGCAGTTAGTGTGAAGCCTCGAGGAGCACAATATAGTCCTTTGTATTGACAGCCCCTTTTGTATGAGGATATCAAAGCACTCAATAGACAGTTATTATCTATTGTTTTCTTGTGATACACCTGGGAGCCCCAGTCCTGGGCTAGGACCATATTGTGTTAGGTGCTGTGAAAACACCAAACAAAAAGTCAGTCTCTACCCCAGAGATGTTTTCAATCTAAATAAGAATTTAAGTATCACAGCAACACCAAAGGCCCTGAGGTTAAGGGAGCTTTGAATCTCAAATTAGTATACAATTCTGCTTGGCTAATGCACACAGGAGAGCACCTTTCAGATCCTGGTTGGCATCAAAAAAGCACTTAGGATTGTGTTTCCATGCTGCTCTTACAGTGCTGCCCAGGTGAAGGACTAAAGAAACCTCAGCCCTCCCTGAAACCCATCTAGGATTCCCCCTTAGCAGAGTCCATGTCAAATCTCTGCTCAGCCTTATGTGCAGAAGAGGAAATGAGAATCTATAATCCATCATGGGAAGAATATTGCCCCAAACAACCTAAGCAATGTTTGCTCATCTGACACTGACCAGGGCAAAACTCAGACATGAAAGCAGAGCCCACAGGTTCTGGGTGACTCATGGTCATTATTAGGTCACAGAATCACTGAATATGGCCTCTAGGTTGGATACTGTCCTCACAAGAGCACAGGTCTTTGCAGCACAAGACCAGATGTCTCATTACTAGTAGTGACCAATTTTTCTTGTGCCAAGCCTCTGTGCTGTTTAATTCACTTTCAGGGAGTCCGAGTGCAGCAGATACTGTACCACCAAGGCTCACAAAGACTGGGAGCTGGTGCATTTAGATAGTAAACACTGTTCTCGGCTCCAAGCATTCTTTACAGTATCTGGCGAATCTAATGATAACAGCCCCAGCCCTTCCTGCCTGAAGCTGCCCATTTCTGAGAGTCAGTCTGACAGTTCAGAGCCCTGGTTTGTGGGCCATTAGCAGGAGTGTGCTTGGAAAGGGTACAGGAGGAAATGAAAAAACAGACCTACCTCGCTCCACAGGCAATTGGCATCTTCTCTCTTTGGCATTCCAGAAGCTTTCTCTGCAGGAAAATTCCACTTGCAGGGATGAAGCTAAATCCTAAGGAAGTTAAGGGAAGATTTCGGCCCCCCATGGAGCTAGCAGGCCTCCTGGGATGATCTCTCTGACCGCATATCCAGAGATTCCTCCAGGCTGGAACAAAAGATAACCACCTAGACTAGCTGACACCAGTCCCTAGAAACATAGGGCCAGAGGTGACTGATTAAAAGGAATCTATCCAAAATTATGGAAATAACAGCCATCTCTGTGCATTTACCAGAAATTATGACATTATAAGCGACATTCCTCTTACAAGCAGTGTAGCTGTAGCATAGGGCGCAGCACATTTCATTAGGGTGTGCACCCAAAGAATTTTTTAAAAATGTACTTTGACCCCCATTAGCCACACCCCTGACCTCTGTTAACCACGCCCCTGACCCCCATTGGCCACACCTCTGGAGGTAACACTCTCCGGGCAAGATGGACACATGACCAGAAGTAAAAGGTGTCATGTGACCCCCCCCCAAGGACTTTTCCCACCAATTTCCTACCAATAGGGATTAGTTTGGCCCCCAACCAAACCCCCCTTATGCAACTATCCTGCAATTGCATTAACCCAATGTGTGTGACATTATTTCGGGGCGGAGAGGCTGGGGGAAGTGTTCCCTCTAAGAATTTCCTCCCATGAACAGAATGAATTTTGTGTTGTGCACCAGTACAGAGTTCATGTAGCTTGTTTGGATGTGCCACTGTGGCACCCAAGTTGTTAATAAATGTCTTATAAACCTCTACCTTTTCCCTCTGATGCCATGTCTCCCCTTGCTCCATCAGCTCCCCTGGTGCCTGCTGCCCCCCAACCCCTCACCCACCTCTGCTGTCCTGACTCCTGCCCTTCTCACTGCCCTCAGCCTTCCTCAGACCTGCCCCCCTCCACCAGCCCTTCTCTCCCCCCTGTGCCCACTCCTCCAGTAGCCCCACTCTGATCATGTAAGCTACCCCTCCTCATCCCCTCTCCTAACACCTCCCTCTACACACCTGCCCTGCCTTTCTCCTCTGGTGCTGGTTCCTCCCCTGCAGGTGTCTGCCCTACTGCTTCACCCCCTGGCACCTGCACCTTCTCTTACCCCTGCACTCTCCTGGTGCCTCCCCCTTACTTCACTGCCCCTGCCCCTGATGCCCACCCCCTCACTACACTCTGCCCCCATTGCTCTCATGCCCGTGCCCTCACACGTCTTGCTCCATTCCTGCCTTCCTCATGCCAACCCCTGTCCCCCCCTTCCACTGATACTGCCCCTCCTGCCCTTTTCCTCATTGTCTCAACTTGGCCTCCTGGCATTTGTCTCTCCTCTACCCTGTCCCTTGGTGCCTTCCCCTTTCTTCTCCTGACCTGCCTCCCTCCCCTCAGCACAAGTCCCTTTCTCTCCCACCTCTGACCCCTATTTTTCCCCCTTTCCCTCCCCTCCTATCCTGTCCTGTCCCTTACCTTCGGCTAAGCCGGCTTCTGCCTTCCAGTTTGTGGGGCTGGAGTCAGAGCCGGCCCAAGCTACAGGCCGGCCGGGCCCTAGCCCGGGGCGGCTCACTTTAAGGGGTGCCATACGGTGCTGCCGGGCTGGGTGGGGCCGAGGACGGGGCCCCGGGCGCAGAAGGGGTGCCACACAGTAGTGCAGGGCCAGGCGGAGGTGCCCCCAGGCACAGAAGGGGCACCGGGCGGTGCTGCCGGGCTGGGCGGGGGTGTCCCCGGGTGCAGAAGGGGCACCGCGTGGTGCTTCTGGGCCGGGTAGGGCCCTGGGTGCAAAAATGGCTTGAGCCGGCGTCTGTGGTAGGGCCCCAGCTGATCTGCCGCACACGCGCTCTCTCTGCCCCAAAGTGCCCCGTAGATGGCCGCGGGGAAAGTGAGGGGCTGAGGCTCCCTGTCTCGAATCCCCCCCTCCTCCAGCAGCCGCTAGCCGGCTAGCTGGGCACACCCCATGAGCACGCCTATGAGCTGTAGCCATGTTGGTTGCAGGATATTAGGGAGATATGGTGGGTGATACCAACTTCTGTTGGTGAGAGAGACCTCCAGAAGGACTCAATGTGGCTCAAAAGCTTGTGTCTCTCACCAACAGAAGTTGATCTAGTAACAGCAATTCTCTTCCCCATCCTGTTTCTTCATCACTTTTACTTCTCATTCAAAAGATGGCACTTCCAAATCCAGAGTCTCCTAACAGCACATTTAGTAAAAGCAAACCCGATAGTTTGGCATGCCGTGCAAACCCAGCAACTCAGTGCCTGGTGGTCCTATCACTGTGAAACTCCTGAAAAGTCTGAGGTAAAAAACCTAAGACCAGATAGCTATGGATACAGATTTAACATACACTCTGTCATATACAGAATACCACTGACCTTCCCCCAAACTGCCAGCAAGCTCTTCCCCACATGCTACAAGCTCATTTACTGTATTTTGCTCTCCCAAGCCTTTGAACAATGTTGCCCACTTCACTCCACTCTGTCACCTCTGAACTTTGTCAGCCAATTCACCCTACCATTACCCCCTATGTCTTTCCAAATCCACCTGTTCCCCACCCTCTAATAATTTTCAATCCCTCTGAATATGCTGCTTACCTGTGAATCCCTGAAGACATGCAGCAGGAAGCCCATTTCTAACAGCCGGGACTTTGAATCGTAACCCCAGACTCATTCTTCCCCTTCACTTGTCCTGTGGCAGAAAGTGGAGACTTTTGCACTATAGACGAGAACAAGTGAGGTTGCTGTAGCTACTTCCCTGCTTCTCCCTTTAGAGACCCTAACGTATAAATGCTTTTCTAGCTACAAGAAGCATGGCAAGGGGCTGCCACTATCTCCTGTATTCCCCTTGATCTTGCTGCACTATTGACCAGGGGGCTGGAGAAGAGGGTTCTAGGGCAGAGAGCACAAGGGAAAGCAACAATCTGTTTGCTTATAGTGATCCTTAGCAAGGCAGAACAGCTGAAAGGCTTTTACCACAATGTCCATAATAGAAGAGCCCATAGCAGATCATACTAGACTCCGGATAATCATAGCTTGTCTTTTCAGTTGCTGTCACTTGTACAAACGGTGTACAGTACAGATAGCTCATGCACCTAACCAGATCCAACTTACATCGGATCCCTGCTTACAAACGCGGTGAGGCAACCCCACACTAGCTGCTTCCCCCCAGCAGACCAGGGAGACGCGAAGCTAGCGCCCCCTCCCCCCCCAGCAGACCAGGGAGATGCGAAGCTAGCGCCCCCCCACCCCAGCAGACCAGGGAGAGGTGGAGCGGCTTTTCTCAGCAGACACTTCAGCTTGAGAATAAAGGGCTGAGGGAAGTGAGGTGTGGGAGAATAAAACTGAGCTCTGGAGAAATGTTTGGCTAGAGTTTCCCCTACAATATGTACCAGTTCCGACTTACATACAAATTCAACTTAAGAACAAACCTACAGTCCCTATCTTGTACGTAACCCGGGGACTGCCTGTAGTGCACAGCAGCCTTCAGCTCTAACTGCAATATACAACAATGTTGTTTTAGGTCAAGGAACGACAATTGCCAAAACTCTTATGATTTCATTACAAGTCTCATAATATTTTAGCTGTCTCAGATGCTGGAGACATGTGATGAAGTGAAAATTCCACTTTTTTAAAAATATGTTTCTGGCCTTCATGGTAGTGGAGAAAGGCTTGGAAATCAGATCTGAGAGCACCCAAAAAAGCAGACAACTAAAAAGAAACCAAAATGGACTGGCTTTAATCTTGTGATTTTGGGGGCCCTCTTTATGATTTTCAAACATGAACAACTGGTAATACAGAATATAAATCCTGCAAAAAACAATATTCTGGATGAGAAATGGCCAGGACATTGTAATTAACATCAAATTTTTCAAAATACAGCCCACATCTTTCATGACCAGGCCTGTCTGAACCTTGATGTTATGTAAAGAGGTGACAGCTCCAGTAATTCAGTACCTTCCTACTACATCATGGGTTCCTATTATTCAGGTTTCAGTGTTACCATTCCTAATTTAGGCCTGTAATCCAGGCAGCCTATTTATCCATTTATCAGTACCTCAATATTCCCCTTGCATTGATTCATATCCATTTTATTATCTACAAAATTACTCAGAGATCCCCATTTGCAATTCTAATGCTAAGCCATTATTTTCCCATTTTAAACCTGTGTATTTGATTATTCC